TAGATGCTGCCATAGTTGCATTTCTGTGTTCATAAATGTATCAATCTTACTCTTTTTTTTTATTAGCTGTTAAACTGAACAAAACATGGTACATTTGATAAGCCAGAGCTGCTTAAATTATTAAAGGAAAATATTCTTAACTTTTACAGAAACTAGTTGCTGCCGTAGTTGCATTTCTGTGTTCATAAATGTATCAATCTTACTCCTCTTTTTATTAGCCGTTAAACTGAACAAAACATGGTACATTTGATAAGCCATATATTTTAAAGGAAAATATATGTTATTCAAAACCTGTCTCTAAATTTTCCAATCTATTGAACTCCGTCATTTCTTGTATGTTAGCTGCAATTTTAGAATAAGCTCACATTATTAATTTCCCAGAGCATTCAAAAGTTAAAATCCTTCTGCCAAAAACCCCCCCACCAAATACACCCAACAATGCACCACCCCACAACCTCACCAATAGCGGAAGAAGGATTTTGGCCGCCTCCTCCACGTTCGTCACCAGAAACAACCCCATCTTCAAATCCTTCTCCTCCAAGCACACCCCAACACACATTATCACCACCTTCTCCATACAATCTTCTCCACACATAAAATTCGAATTGATGTTCATACAATCATGCCCCTCAAAAACTCCATCAGTCTGTCCAAATTACAGTATGAAGAACCACCTTCACTGATGGCCTTTTCCCCCAAATTTGCCATACGATTAGCCCTATGCCAAAACTCATCCCTTCTCTCCACCATTATATCCCTAACCATCTTCTCGATGATCATTCGATCACAATTATCTTTTATATCCAATCCGAGCTTCCGAACATCACTAACAAACCTACTGTTTATTGTCTGATCTGCAAAATAAGGCCAACAAAGCATAGGCATTCCCCCTGCTACACTCTCTAGAGTCGAATTCCATCCACCATGGGTGAAAAATGCACAAATCGCTGGATGGGCCAAGACCCCAGAAGGGCGCGCCACCGGAGAAATCCCTCACCCAGCAAAACCCTGGAAGGTCGCGCCTCCGGAGAAATCCCTCCATACCCGGCACACTTGTTACCATTAAATCAATCTCTTTCTTTTTCCAATGTGTATATTTATCTTCATCATTCCCTAATACAGTACTTAAAAAATCAATTCACTTTGAACAGGATAGTTCAATTCATCCAATATACAAATTTACACATTTAATTGGAATAGAATAGTACCTCTTAGAGGCACCTCGCCGGCATCAATAATTTCTTGGATGCAAAAATTGGCAGTTTAAATTTTAAATTGGTTAAGCCAGATCTGCGGCACCAATTTCTTGATGCAATTAATCTGAAGCATTTAGATATAGCAGCGTTTGTGGTCTCCGGTGACGGCGCGAGGAAGGACAATAGAGAGAGAGGAAAGAGCGAGAAGGGAGAGACGAGAAAGAGGGGGTGAGTGGGTAGAGATGATTCAGAGATAGAGATAAATTAGATACGAGATTGAAAATTAGGTTATAATTAGGGTTTTAATTATTAATTTAATTAGCACTTGATTAAATCAACGTTACACCTGATTTTTGAATTTGAAAACTTAAATACCTGGTTTTAGGTAATTTTCTCATATTTGATTATTAAATCTATATCAGATTTGCTATGTTATCAGATATCCGATCCGATAATCCGATACGAAATTGATAAAAATTAGGAAAAAAAAAACCAATCTTCTTTAAAAAAATTTGAGGCCTACATGTTTTTATTAGAAAGCCCAATAGTCACTTTTACTATCATGATGTTCCTTTTTAAATGCAAAATCATCTTCTAATTTTCTATTGACATTCGATGTGGGATAAGGTAAAATTGAATTTCAATTTTAAATATAAATATTTTATTTCATTATTTTCATTAACAAATCAAATTATTTATTACATATTAATTATTAGTTTTTGAAATTGTAAAATTAATTAAGAAAAATATAGATATTTATTTACTTTAAATTAGTAAANCTAAAATTTAAAAAAAAAATCTATTGTTTTTATAATATTTTACATTTATGTATATAATTATTTGTTCAATTTGACAACCGGTTCGATACCGATTCGACCCTGATTTGACTTTTTGACTCTTGACCTTTTTTCTTATCTGGGTTGATACTCGGGGTCGATTTTTAAAACATTGGTTGAAATCAATTTTTTTCCTTCAAATTTTCCAATTCTTAAACAGGTTTAATAATTATAAATTTTTCAACTTTTTTATGTTTTGAACTTGATTACTTTTTTATTCTAAATTTATTTATTTTCTCATTTATTTATTTTAGTGACAAATAATATGGCATAAAAATATTTTACCAACTCAATTAATTATAACAAATCGGATCGGATTGTTATCAGATCGGATCGACATATATCCATATTTGATCCATTTAGTTAACGGATTATCGGATTCGAATCAAAATTCAATTCATTGACAGCCCTACGTACAGGCCTCCCCATCTTCGGGTAAAAACCTTCCAGGCCTCAATGGTTCGGTATAACAGCTTCAACTCCAATCTGATTTCTCCCCAAAGGTACAATACAGCATCGATGTCAAGCTTGAGCTCTCCCATACTCGGGGCTAGACTGCTAGACGGTCAGCTGCTATCTTGTAAGCTGGGCCGTCCATGACTATCCGACTTCAAAAAATATTGCTCGCTCTCCAATAAATACTGCCAATTTTGTGTGTTCATGAAATAAATAGGAATTTATATTGAGATTCAATTAAGAATTTTTATTGTCTATTTAAAATCATTTCAGACCATTATTTTCTTCACTTGCTGTAGAGTATTAGACTATGCTTGTTAACACTTGCGCGTCACCAACATGTTAAAATTCTCTCATATATTATCAAAGTTTTCATCTTTAACCCTTCAATACCTAAAAATCTGCCACTGAACTGGGTTCACTCGTCGAAGTTTTGCTTAAATCATTGAAGAGACATTTACACGATGGAGACGTTGAAAGACCACATTTGAAAAGGTTATTTCTTTACTTCTTGCCTTTAATTTCACTATATATTAAAAGAGGCTAAACAAATCTCATACACGTGTCACAATTTCCCATCATCGTCAAAAATCCCCATTTTTTAAAAAAAAAATTCTCATGAAATTCGTCAAAAATTCCCGCACCGCCTTCTACTTCTCCATATCTCACGCAATCAACCACTCCTCCTCCATTTTCCCACGCAACCTCCCATGGAATACACCTCAAGTTTGAATTATATTTTTGGGTTATGGGTTGTTGTGTTTCCCTTTTTTTCTCTATATTCTTCTCTCCTCTAATTTTATCAACCAACCTTGTTTTTACAGGATTCGAAGTTTTCGTCATTTGGCGTCTGAGATTGAGAAAGAGATTGCTGATTGAAATAAGGTATTTTAATGCCAATTTTTTTCCAATAGTTTTCAATTTTTTGTTGTGAATGCAGTTTCTATTACCATGAATCTATTGTCATTCTTAAACTCAATTTAACAACGTATTTTTGGATTTTTAGTTAATTTAATTGGTGATTGTTGGAATTGAATTTTACGGGCATGTTTGACCTTCTATGCATAAATTTAATGTTTTCACATAATAAATTCTGTAGTTGATGGGTGCTAATATAGTGTTTTGGTGGGTTTAATGCAGATTGGTAGTATTTGGGTTGGAGCAGAAACTGTGCACATTAGATTTGGAGTGGAGGCCAGAGCTCTGATGCTCAATGGTGTTGAAGAGCTTGCTGAGCAGCTAAGTTACCATGGGTTGCAATGGTAATTAATTTTAATATATATTCCACTGGTATCTATTTATTCAAGTTTGTATTTAGTTTTCATGTTGTTTCAATTTTTTTTCTTGTCAATTTTTTTTGCTTTTTATCTCTACTTTAAGTTGTCTTTTTCTGGTATATCAAAATTGTTGCTGACTAAAGTTTTGATTGTTTCAATTAGTGAAGAGCATCATGTAGTGATGGGCAAAGTTGGGGTGCCACTAAAGTGACAAAAACTTGTGTCTCCGTGCCGTGCACGGAGATATGAGAATGTGTCTCCTTGCCACGCACGGAGGCATGAGAATAAAGTGACAATGACTTGTGTCTCCGTGCGCGCGCAAGGAGACACAGCACAATGTCGTGTCTCCATACGCGGCACAGAGACACGAGAATGTGTCTCTGTGAGCGGCACGAAGACACAGCACAAGGCCGTGTCTCCGTCCACGCACGGAGACACGAGAATGTGTCTTCGTGCATGCGCGCGGAGATGTGCCGTGTCTCCGTGCGCGCACACGGAGGCACGAGAACGTGTCTCAGTGTACGCGCACGGAGATGTGTTGTGTCTCCGTGTACGTACACCGAGACACGGCCTTGTGTCTCCGTGCCACATGTACAGAGACAAATTTTTTTTTATTTTTATTTTTTAACAATGAGATACATTTTCTAAAATTGTCCCAAAACAATTAGGTTGTGGAGAGAGAGAAAAAATAAGATGGATCAATTGAAGAGGTGTGTAGAATTTTTTTCTTTCTTTTTTTAATTGGATTATATTACAACTGTAAACTGTTGCGAAAACTATATTGTAATAAGATGTATATAAATTTTTTTCTATATTTCAATATGTAAAAATGATAAAGCATCTTATCACATTTTCTAACCCCACTAAAAAACACAA